GTTAACGGCCGATTGTACATCGAGGATGCAAGGGGGAGTCTGTTAGCCGGTAAGTGGTATAGCTTATTATATTGTATATATATTATATACTTGGATATACAAATATATATATATATATATATATATATATATATATATATATATATATATATATATATATCGATCATGTTTTCCATGATTTCGACATCTATCACTCACGCGCGCAGCTGGAACTTTCACGATGCCACGCGCATTGATACCGCCGGCCCCACCACCGCCTCCCTCGCTGTGCCCCTCCTCGCGGCCAGCTAGTGCGCGCACCTCCGTACAGCCGTCACCGGCGGCTTCCCGGCCCGTCAGTCCCGGAGGAGGAGGAAGGAAGCCGCTCATATCTGTGCAGGATATCCGGTCGGTGACGCTGAGGAAGCCAAAGACGCACAAGTTCGTCTGCAACAACAACAAAGGTATATATACGAGTTACACGTAAACGTGGAAACGTGGGGGCCGGTTGTGAATAAATACTTCTTCGTTTGAAAACAAACAGAACATTGACAGAATAAACAAACAAATCAATCAATCAATCAATCAATCAACAGATAAATAAATGAAACATATATGTAATGTAGCTGATCACGATTGAAAAGGAATTTTGTTTGGGGAAGGTGGCTACTGTGTGCAGTTGATATCATACTTGCCTCATCTTACATGATAACGCACGTATTCTTTGCCACGTTACCATATATGTTACTGTCGGGTCTGGCTTGCATGACGTAAACTGCAAACTTTGTCCTCTACTGTTATTGGCTGACTGCAAAAGATAATTGTTCAGGAATGTGAGATGGCTGGTGGTCGATGGAATTTTATATTAGTTTAGGCACGTGAATGTGCGCATATATGCAAATAACAAATATGCACTCACGACGATTTATCAATCGCTTTGCGAGAAATGTGAATATATGTATATATCAAGAGTACATAATAGACTATGTTGTCTCTCTATTATCAGGAGTTAATAATGACAAATGAACAATTTGTCATTATTAACTCCTGCTATTATGTACTCTTGGTATATATACTTATGCTCTTCTTCGGTCCCATCTAATTTTCCCGATTCAGAAAAATGCTACACAGCAATCCGGGTCCAGCGGTTCGCTAACAAACTGTTCGCTTTCTGATAAGGCCTATCGTGGCTCCTCATATCGCATATTTGGATAGACCTTGTAAAACCAGGCGTGGACACACCCGGTGGCATTGAATTAGGAGTTATAGGGCCCTCTCCCATTCTCGCTTCTTATATAGCTCATCTCGGTTTGTCTGCACACCGATGTGTTATTGCGAAAGAATAGTTGTCGTCGGTGTTAGAGTGGTGGTTGGGGGACATTTATTGATGTTAGTGTTGTGAATAATTATAAGTCGTAGTCATAGATGAAGTGTTGACAAACGGCTGCTATAATCATGAGCAGTGTGAAAAACATGGCGCACCAAATATCGTCGCAAGGTTCGAGTAAGCAGGCAGAGCGCCGATATACTGTGCAATTCCAATAACAACGACACGTATGTGTGTTCATATATGTTATATATATATGTATATCAGAAGTAGATAATAGGGAATTCCCTATTATCTACTTCTGATGTATATATTATTATATATATGTACATTCACCATTCCGTCTCTCCCATCCCTCTCTCTCTCTCTCTCTCTCTCTCTCTCTCTTCTCTCTCTCTCTCTCTCTCTCTCTCTCCTCTCTCTCTCTCTCTCTGCTCTCTCTCTCTCCTCTCTCTCTCTCTCTCTTTCTCTCTCTCTCTCTCTCTCTCTCTCTCTCTCTCTCTTATCTCTCTCTCTCTCTATTGATCTATCTAACTGTTTATCTATCGGTCTGTCTGTCTGTCTGCCTGTCCGCCCCTCCGTCCATCAATCCATCCATCCATCCATCCATCCTTCCATCCATCCATCCATCCTTCCATCTGTGTCAGCACTCGTCGCCAGGCTTTGAACATGCAGCTAGGCGCTTGATAATATTTCAGAGTAAGATAACAAGGCTTGTTCATACATGGTCGTTTGTACAGTCAGTTTTCCGATGATTGCAGACACATCGATGAACCAGGTGAAGAATGATGACCTGATCGCCGAGCTGAAATCAACGACAGGAGCCAACTCTCTCGCTCAGCTTCGCGTCGAGATGGCAAAAAGAACTCAGGAGATGGTAGGCAGCAGCAACATATTTTATATTTAAAGAACAGGCTGGGTCTTTTTTTTTTACTCAAAGACTCAATTTGTCGTGTTACATCATTAGGTATGTTTGGTAGTATTTACTTGCACTCATAGTTGTGATAGTATTTACTTGCACTCATACTTGCACTCACTGATAGTTCACAATCAGTGCCCTACGCCCAGTGAACGCAAGGTAGTCGTACAGTGTGATAATTATTATTTGGCACTCCTTTCCTCATGTAACATAATAAAATAACCAATATATGTTTGACGGTGTTTTCTTGCATTCATAATTGCGCTTGTGTTTGAGAAAATTTGCGAAGTCTACATATTTTGACCGAAAAACCGTTCGTTGTATGCCGAATTATAAAATGAAAGTCAATGGCATAATGTATGGAATGTAATCAGGAGTGAATAATAATAGATTATTATCTATTATTATATCTTATATTATATAGATTATATATCTATATCTATTATGATTCACTCCTGATGTAATGTATTCACCTTATGGAATTTCGCGTTATTAACGTTTTTCAGGAACGCATTACTTCAGTAACGCAGGATATTACTATCCGTGTGTGTACGCGTGCGTGCGTGCGTGCGTGCGTGCGTGCGTGCGTGCGTGCGCGTGCGTGTGTGCAAGCGTGCGTTCGTGCTGGCGCGCGCGCGTGTATGTGTGCATGCGTGTGCAGTATATATTATGTGCCGATCCACCTACCTTGTAGCATGTCACTTTCATCGTTTTCTCATGATGATGATGATAATGATATTAATAATAATAATAATGATGACACATTGCCTACTCGTTCGCAGCACACCGTCGAGGCGGTGGAGATTGATCCTGACGAATTCACGGCCGCCAAGTTTCTGGAAAAGGTTCCCGACGCAACGCCGGAAGGCAATCCTATCCCACCGTGGAAGCGTCACGTGCTCGCCAAGCGGGAAGCCGAGAGGGCGCTGAAGGAGGAGCAGGAGCGAACCAAGGTCAGCAGATGTGACCTTCGCACAGGGGTCGTTTAGTTTTTTCACATATTAACCTTTCCATAATACATTTCAATGGTGTCGATGCATCTTGAAAGCTGTTGATAGTAAATTATTCGAATGGTTACTTTCATTGCCATGTGCACTAGCGGATTAAGGGCGGGGCAACAGGGGCACGTGCCCCAGGCCCCCCACATTTGGGGCCCCCCACATTTAGAGTATCCTAAAATTTACAAAACTGTCGTAATGGTGATCCACAAAATTCTTAGCATGTAACGTAAAGTGATGCGTTTCCCATGCTGTTTCTCTGACTGAATTTTGCTGTTCAGCTGAAGGACACTTTCCCTAATACCGAAATTGCTCTGAGAATCTATCTTTCATTGATGGTCTCGAATTGTAGCGGTGAAAGGTCATTTTTAAAACTCAAGTTGATTAAAAATCACATGAGAACCACGATGAGCCAACAGAGACTGGTAAACCTCAGTATTCTCGCTATCGAAAGTGACATTTTAAATTCGTTGAAACACGATAAAATACTCTCTGAATTTGCAAGCATGAAAGTGCAGAAAAAATACAGACTATAGGGCCCCCACACAATTGCGTGCCCCGGGCCCCCCACACGCTTAGTCCGGCCCTGGCCATGTGATATATATATATATATATATATATATATATATATATATATATATATGTATATAATATTCATACAAGTCTGTCGTTGATGAAAATTGAAAGGAATCCATTAATAGATTGTTGTCTAACATTGAATGTCCATTTCACACCTGAACCAGTGATGTTTTCCATTCGTCTAGAGGGAGGCTGAGGAAAGACGGCTCTCTAAAATCCCGGCATGGAAACGCCAAATGCTTGCTAATCAGGAAGAGGAGACTAGGTAAATGTAACCTCCAACTACGCTCCATCCATGCATTCATCACTAGAGCATTCCGCTATACTTTTACAACTTATCTCATCAGTGTGTGCTGGCTAACAGAAGTGACAGCTAACAGAAATGAATTTTGTAATCGATTTAATTTAATTTCTTGCAGACTTGCACGGGAGGCGGCGCATCAGAAGAAATTGGAGCAGGAGGAGCGAAGCAGAAAGGAGGCAGCGGCAAAGGCAGCCACCAGAGGGCTAGGATTGGCATCAATACCTATCCCCACAGCGCAGAGCCAACCGCTGGCGCCATGGCAACAAGAGCTCCTCAACACGCGAGTGAAGTGAACGAACCACTGACGTGGTTCGTCCGGCAACTCGAACTTTGTCCCATCGATGACCTGGTCCAGTGATTGACTAGTGATTACCAGACGTGCCTACACCACCATCCCCTTCTCATTCTCCTCCACTTTCTTTCTCAATTCTTCATTCTCTCCTCTTCTGTTTTCTGCTCCCTTCTTCCTACTCCTACACTCTTCTTCCACGTCCTCCCCTCTCCTTCCTTGTGCTCCCCTCTCCTTCCTTGTGCTCCCCTCTCCTTCATTGTGCTCTCCTATCCTTCCTTGTGCTCCCCTCTCCTTCCTTGTGCTCCCCTCTCCTTCCTTGTGCTCTCCTCTCCTTCCTTGTGCTCCCCTCTCCTTCCTTGTGCTCCCCTCTCCTTCCTTGTGCTCCCCTCTCCTTCCTTGTGCTCTCCTCTCCTTCCCTGTGCTCTCCTCTCCTTCATTGTGCTCCCCTCTCCTTCCTTGTGCTCACCTCTCCTTCCTTGTGCTCCCCTCTCCTTTCTTGTCCTCTCCTCCACTGTCATCCCCCTCTCCTTCACTGTCATCCCCCTCTCCTTCACTGTGATCCCCTCTCCTTCCTTGTCCTCCCCTCTCCTCCACTTTATTCTTCAATCCGCCCTTCTCCTCTCCCCTTCCGTTTTCTCCTCCCTTCGTCCTTCTCCTCTTTCTCATTCCCCACCCATTGCACCTCCTTATACCCGTGTCACACCGAAGAGTGCTCATTTTTAATGCTAAACTGGAATTTGCAAATTGCGGAGAAGCGACAAACAAATTGGTGCATAGAAATATTTGCTCACGCGTAAGTAGCCAGCTATAAGATCACAACTCGAAACAACGGATCAGATTCGAGGTTTCAGTTGCTGGTCAGTAAAAGGTAAACCAGAAGGCTAGTAATAACAATAATATCCCACCAGGTGGCTCTATGTAGGGTTAACATCATATATCTATACATAACATTGATTGGCAGTGGAGAGCAGTGATATTTATACACATATAATAATAGTGTATTATAGGATATCTATAGCGAGGAACACTTGTATCCAGTTGGTGCGCCCTCTGGTGACAAAAGCGAGCTGTTGTGACCACTGGGCTGTATATAATAACAACACAGCGCAGTAGTTGTGTCTGCTTTCATTTGTCACATGGCTATATAAATACATTACACCACGTATATATATATATATGCATACGACAGTTTCTTAGCTTTTGTGAAGATTTACGTGTTTGAAAATTGTGTGCCAATTGTAATTAATGTTACATGTACGTACGGTGTATGCAAAGTGATTCTGGTTGCAGTATTGTGTTTTCAAAGAAAAGCAACGATAATTGAAACAATGTGTAATTATATTTATTTACCCCCTTATCGTTTGTGTTGCGACGGTCACTTGTGAATACACTTTAACCGGTACACTGACGATATTAAATTGTGGATTTACGATGTTCTCATGCAAGCTAGTGGTATATATGATATATTATGGAGATTTCTGTATGTTTATTTCCCAGTGTGCTTTTGTAAACCTGTAACTCGATCTACTTCAGTCTTGACTATGGAATTGTGCCTATGGATGTGCTTTTTTGCAATCCAACTGCTATTATACGATTAAAGTAGTTGTGAAAAATGTTCTTGTGCAGAATTGTGGTTTCGCTATAGTGTATGATATACGACGAAACGGCCATCTTCTAGCACTTGTTTCACACCGAGGACCTTCCTGCCATGATTTTATAATAAACAGAAAGCTTTTGTCGATTTCTTTCCGAGTGCCAAGCAGATATTAGATGCGATCTATCTATCTACCAAGGACTGCTAAAATCCAATCGATTTTCTGGAAGGCAGGCGACTTGGGGCGACTCACCCTGAAAGTGTGTGCAACTGTTGTGCCCGATATGTTTTAGGGTGCTTTGCGTGTGAATTCGTGAGCGTTTCACACAACGACCGACCGAGACCCGGTATAAAGAAACGTTAAGGTGGGCCAAGTAATCGCTTCCTATGAAACAGTTAAGATTCCACGTTGAGGTGGGAGAAGTAAACACTTTCTAGGAAAAGTTAAGGTAGGAGAAGTAAATGCTTCCTATGAATCGGTTAGATTCCACGCGTGTCAATAATGCCAGCTGACTGTATTACTGGTACTCAACAACAAAAACAACTTGTTGCCCATTTCAATCGGATTCCTTTCGTGTTGATAATCTCTTCGAAGGCAATCGTTAGGCAAAAAGTGGTAATAAAATGCAAACGTGTCATCTTAATTATAAATGTTGCTGATTAATAGTTTTGTGTTTTTCTGTTGAAAGTTTATCCCCCAATTCAGGCAACTTCAAAAAAAATTCATGTTCTTTTGTTACACACGTTAATAACCGTTTCAATCACGTTTGCAGCAATCCTTTCCAATGCTTTCCCCTGACTATATGATTAAATGCAAACAAGTTGTTAGGTGTTTTCCTTGGAGCTGAACTATTCCACTGTGAAAAATGGTTGTGGTAATAGTTCTGCTCCTCTGGCGCCACCTACATTGGTAAAACCAATCGAAATTTCAAGCACACACAAAGTTAAGACACCATCGTAGTAATATTATTACATAAGTATAGTAATAATTATTTATTCTAATATTATATTTCATTGATATAACATTTACATTACCATATAAACTTCTACAGTCCAATAGATACACAAGATCTAGAGTCCATCAACGCGACAACACAACGTCGTGGCACATTGTTACCGAATGGTTGCACCTGGCTCACTACAAAAATTCCATATGGCATAGAGAGCGAACACTGTTTTACGATACAGCCGCATTCCTGTCAGTGGCTGGGAGTACAGCACCTGCACGTTGCCATGACTACACTCGTCACAACTTTCAACGTGGCGATACGCGATAGGCCCTTGTCAACGACGGTAAAGGTAACACTCGGTGGAACTGTGACGCGATTTAATCATTCCTACGCTGTCCGCTGCAACCTCGACCACCACGACTAGGTGACCTGATGCCACTTCAGCGCCGTGGAAGCTATATTTGAAGCAATCGCAGGCAAAGAACGACTGCTATAGCACTTGCTTTGCCCGTTATCAAAATACCAGAACCGGCCTCCTGCAGTGGCAGCTGTGAATCCCGTTTACAGTAGCAGGGTTAATCAGAACAGAGGCATGCACAGTCTGGCGTCGCACGATGAGTCGGCTAGCTATACCGGTGTAGCCCCTTCGCTCCCACTACAAAAGCAGAACAGCGAAGGGCTACGAGTCTACTAGCTCTACCGGTGTAGCCCTTTCGCTCCCACTACAAAAGCAGAACAGCGAAGGGCTACACCAGTAGAGCTACGAGTCAGCTAGCCGGCACCGGCTCGCGCCTGAGGGACCGCATCACCGCAGCAATCACTTCCCCGATCACGGACACGTCGGCTAATCACGCCATGCAAGAACGAGGAGCACCTAGTTCGCAGCCGGCTGCCACACACGTGCACGGCTGCCACGTACGCGCGCTGCTACGTGTCTACCAGCAGCCGCGGACATCCGTTTAACGTCAGCAGCAGTCTACCGCCAACGCTAGCCAACGTGTGCGTGCCTGTGATCACCCGCAGACATCGGACGATGCGAGTGATCAACCGACGAGATCGTTTCAACCGGAAACAAAGTTGTAGGGCAGTCAAACGAATACGAACCAACACGGTAGAGATCGGTCGACGATCCCACCTGCTAAAAATCTCCTCGCCTTTCTTCGGTACACCCGGGCGGGTCACAGCTACCTCACACCGCATGCAAAGTAAACGAAATGCAATGAATAATACGAAGATCCGTACAAAAAATGTGTACAAAAAGCACAAAAGCTAATTTTCGGTGATGAATTAGATCCAAGCGTTAAGGTACTAATACGTGTAAACCTTAAATGCATTTATTCTAAACGTGATGCGGTAGGGTATAGGTGTCCAGATGCTGCTTGTTATTGGCATCATGACCCTAACTAGCTACATGTGATTCTCGGGGCATCGTAAGAACATACTACAATCCGCTATCTCTCCCCATGCCCCACTTCTCCTAAACACCGATTGTAAACTTTCCGCAATTTTTCTTTCGTTTTTGAAATCGGTCTTTTATATACAAAATATCTTCGCGGCGGTAAGAAAACAAATCCTTTACCACCGACGACACCTGCGTTGGACTGTAAGTCTGGTGGTCGCGCACTCTCTCTCTCTCTCTACGACTCTTTCTCTTTTACACATTATAAATATTATCAAATATTATAACAGCTAACGTTATCATCACCGCCTCTTCGTTCCGGTGACCTCATGGCATCACCAATGGCTTGCTATTATTACACAAGCTACATACAGGTGTGAATGTGCAAGAACGTTTTTTGTGTGTTGACTTCCTTCTCTCTCCTATCCCTCCTCATGTAAATTAATGACTGGACGACGAGTTTGTAATTAGGCTTTACAATAGGCGTATAAATAAATCTTGCAAAAATGGTTAACACTTTTCTATACTTGCCTTGCTTAGGCCATCACTTGGCATCAGCACAAGATTACTGAAGGCAACTATATGGGCCTCGTGTTTATCGAGTTATGCTTCCACTTTTCATTAATGCCGAGCATAAATTATTCATATAACGGTTGGCAGTACAGGAACAGAATTATGAGCGTACTGTTAACCACAGATTTGCCTCGCCAGCTGAGAATTAAGTATACACACACACACAATCACCCACCTAAGAGTAGTAGACTCAATTTGTGCTGGTAAATCTCTATAGTTCGATAATCACCATTAGCCTGGCTGCATGTGATATCTACGCAACACTCTAACATTACGCGACTGTGTCTACGTCTGCGTGCACTAACGAAGCAATGGCAAGGAGAAGAAATATACCATCATTACAAGCTATCGTCGTGGAAGCCATTCTTTCACGTGCTTTTATAGTAAGTGAAACAGATTTTCTGTAATTTCCACTGTGAAAAGCCGAACGAATTACGCTATGTACAGTTTTATGATCAATATGACGACTCGACCCCCCCGCCCCCTCCCCCCATTTCCCGTGAAAACTATGGTGACAAAATGGACTGATCCATGTGTGAGAACAACGAACCATTCTAAAATGTATTATGTATATGATTACACGGATTTTATCTGAACCAGAAAATGGTTAACGAGACGCCGGACCGCCACGCTATTAAAACAAAATTTAACACCCCCCCCCCGTCCCACGTAGCAGCCTGATCCCCCGGCTCTCGTAGTTAAAAGGACGTCGTTACCGACCGTCGGATTACGGGCACCTTCCCTCGCTTGTGACGGAAGTCCGACGCGTCGTCCCCCCGGCAACGCCTCCCGGAATCCCTTGGCAACGAAGGCACCTGCAGCGACGATATCACGACGCGAGCGTGCAATGCGGCGGTCGACGACGACGGACGCTGTACGTCGCGACGGCTGCTGCCTCCACGAGCGTGAGCGGACGCAGCAGCAGCATTATAGCAGGACGCACTTCTTCTTCTTGACGGGTTCCGGCGGCTCGAGCGCCGCCAGGATCGCTTCGTCGAACACGTTCTTCAGCCCTTTCTGCAAATTAAGAGATGAGACGTGTAGACGAGTGATCCGCACGGAATCTTCCACGCATCGCCATCGAAGATGAGTTAAGACACGTCTTGGTTTATTGAGAACACACTGCACTACTACTCATTAAAGTAGCCTGGGGAAACAAGCCGCACGGCACAGAAATCTATATCGAGAGCTTGCACCGCAAGCTGCGTCAGGATTGGCGGACCAAACGTACGCGCGACAAAAGCCGGCGCTCGTCTGTGGCGGTATTGCATCTCACATCACGCTGAAACGCGGATGAAACCGCGAAAACAGAATTACGCGCAGACGACGCGAGCCACCGCGGCACGCACCTGTGTCAGTGCCGAGCACTCGACGTATTTCACAGCCTTGAGCTCCTTCGCGAGTTTCTCTCCCTGCTCGAACATGATTGGTCGTTGCTTGTTCTTGGCCAGTTTGTCCAGCATGGACTGGTCGTCCCTCAGGTCCACCTGAGTGCCAACGAGGAGGAAGGGCGTCTTTTGGCAGTGATGCGTTATCTCGGGAACCCACTGGAAACATTGCAGAGAAATCGGAATGAGCGCGTTTCCTATTCATGCCAACGTATCGAAATAAAATTGCAATGAATTCACACATTTATATATGTACACTAAAAACATTCAGCTTTGCTTTTGGTCCCACAATCTGCAACCTGCTTTATATGCGCAGACAAAACCTGTTGGACTTGCCCATACCATACTACAGCCCCACAAGTATCGATAGCTAGTTACTAAGCATTCAAACTAAATCAGCATTTCTCGGGTCATTCGTCACCGGCTATCCCCGAGATTACCCTAACCCACTCTCATCTAACGCGATCTTACGTGGCGACCGTGATAAACGATGACCAGAAGAGAAGACACGTGCAGCGCGCCTTCTAGTCCGGCCTTCCTAAATGTTTACTCAGCTTCCTTAGTCCATCATCTAAACAAACCTCGTGCGGGCCTTCGCTAAACGTTAAACGAGGGAGGAGCTACCATCTCATCGCACGCGGCTCCTTCCCCGTTTAACGTTTAGCAAAAGGCCGCATAAGGTTTGTTCAGGTTTAGGTTAGGTTTGTTAGCGCGGGCGACGAACGAACCTTCTCCTTGACGTTCTCGAACGACGACGGCGACACGACGGAGAAGCAGACGAGGAAGACGTCCGTCTGCGGGTAGCTGAGCGGGCGCAGTCGATCGTAGTCCTCCTGTCCGGCCGTGTCGAACAGCCCCAGCGTGTACGGCTCCCCGCCGATCATCACCGTCACCGCATAGTTGTCAAAAACCTGCAGCGCATTAGTTAACTGTCACCTGAGCGTGTGAACGTTTGTTTTCCGGGTTTAACGTCTTACGGAGGCTAGATTATAACGCCATTAACACAACAGCCTGGCATTGGGTGATTGCCACCTGAACGTCTGACCGTTTGTTTTCCGGTTTAACGTCATACCAAGGCCAGACTAGGACGGCACTAACGCGACAGCCTGGCACTGGGTGATTGCCACCTGAACGTCTGACCGTTTGTTTTCCGGTTTAACGTCATACGAAGGTCAGACTAAGACGCCACTAACGCGACAGCCTGGTATTGGGTGATTGTCACCTAAACATGTGAACATTTGTTTCCCGGTTTAACGTCATACGAAGGTCAGACTAGGACGCCATGAACGCGACAGCTTGGCATTAGTTAACTGCCGTAAAATATGTACAATTATAATATGTACTATAATACTAATAGGTAAGAATACCTATTTCAGCTTTCCATTTTTGGACATATTTGAGAAACTACTTTAAATTGTTGCCTTTAATAGAGACGAAACTTATCGTGCCTGCTTAATATTCTACTCACCGTAGGAACGTATTCAGAAGGGAATTTGTTGGTTGTGTACGAGATCAGTAAACACGTTTTACCAACAGCGCCATCGCCCACCACCACACACTTTATCGTCTGCATGCTGGTTTCCTCAAATAAAATGTGGCAGTATGTGGTTCGTGATCAGAGGCACCTGACAACAGCAAATAAAAGGCAGTAATCACGCTGAACATTGCTGTGTAAACTATTAAAATAAGTGCAGATGTAATTGTTTACCGTGCTCGATAATTGGCTTTGGTAAATGAAAAAATACAATTAAAAAATGTACATGGATGTCGAGAGTTCCTAATGGGGGTAGTGTGTTACATCCTGCACATTGTCTTGGTAATAAATACCTCCATATTTTCCACCTACAACCCATTTTGTGACGAAATGGAAGAGCTTTCATGGGAGAGTAAAATGACTGGGTAAAAATGTGTTATTTTAGACTATTACAGCAATAACTTCATACTATACACAAATTAAAAAGACTCTGGCCATCGTTTCGTGTGATTAACAGCATAGACCAAACCCTCTAACATCACTTCCAGCAGCGTGATAGGGGTAAACTCTTTGAAATTTGTACATACGTGTGACATTATTATGTTTAAATACCAACTTATTGATCTGGCTAATTGATCAACTTTGTCTCATTCCGTCTTTGATATAGTCCGTTGGACTTTGAAGACGAGTAATTACGAGGTTACGAGGAAAGTTAATCAGAGTTTTACTCCACTATTTTACTAACATTAAAGCGTGTATTGCGAGAATTTTCCAGTGTTTTCCCCATTTTCATGATACCTACCGTTATTGCTTAAGTAACAGCAATTGTCTAGAGTAACGATAACATGTCTTAGAACCTTTGTATTCACCAAATTCAATGAAATCATGCACGATTACAATTTTGCGTTCTGTTTCTGTTTACCGTTGCCATCTCTCGGATTTTCTCGCGGTAGCGCGAGACATCTATCACGGTGCAGTAATGCATACCGTCGCACCGTTGAAATCAGGTCAGAGTGTAAACACAGCCGTTCATACTAGCGTAACAGCAGCGTAGTACTAATGCCACGTAAACTTAAAGCCTGTTATTAGAGAAGCTTGTGGATTCCAGTCAGATAGTAACACGGGAATGACAATGACAGGACAGGATTTTGAGAGTCGGGACACGCAAAAATTTATTGCTGGTATGTGGTCAAATCAATTTTTCCATGCTATAACTGCATAAAATCTTGGTGTTTTGAATGTTGGTGTAATCAGTGATATTTTCGCTGTCAGGTGAGACTATATTCAGCTATATTTCGTTTTTCTGAGCAAAATTCTCGCAATACACGCTTTAAAGCCCTGTCACATCTGCATGAAGTTCTGCTTGCTGTGGGTAAACAAGCCACATAAATGATTAGTGAAGCTACACGTGTAGGATGTAACACTACCCACTAGAGCCTAGATGGCATAGGAAAGTTACTTTGTTTAGGAAGTACTCATTCAATCACTGACAGTGACAGTGACACTACTCACTAGCTGACAGCGTTAGATCAGTCACCTCATTTTGGCCTCACCGATGGTGAAATATAAAATAAAATGGACTAATTTTAAAATAAATTAGATATGATTAGACTTATAATATGACTTATAAACATATTGATTTCACGATGAGCATGTAGCAGAGCGTTAATGGCATTTTAAGCCGAGTTTTATCTACCTTTTCTGGGTGTGCTCGAATTTATTGCAGATACAAAAACCGGAGCGGAAATGGTTTGCAAAAAAGTTGGTGCGGCTGTTCTAAATATTGTATAAGGATACCTAGCGATGGATTAAATTAATAGCGTAGTAAATTAACACCGATTATTTATGTAGAAAATTATTAATTACAAAAATTTATTGTATAAAAATCGAGACTATTTAAATCGTGTGAATTTTTCACGCACCACGTCTTTGAATTCCGGTATATTAGAGAGCAGCCGGCTGAAAGGTGCGATAGGATATGTTTACTAGGCACTTCTAATTTTAACATATTTTACGATATATTAAAGAATGATGCAAAAACCCTAAAAAGTGCCCTAACCCTAACCCTAACCCTAACCCTGACCCTAATTAAAT